ATGATGCTTCTCATGATGATATAGCAGTTTTCCGCAAGACTTGGGATGGGGACACTCCCGGCTTGCTTCTCGAAGCAGTGCTGAAAGCACTAAAGCAGTGACAAGCACAGCAGCCAACAAGAAAGGCCGTGCATGTTTGCAGCAGTCTGTGCGAGACCCTGAATGGCTTTAGGAAGGTCCCACTCTTACCTTAATAATATTCATAGCAATACACATATCGCAAGAGAAACCAGAAATGCTTGGAATAATACTACAAACTGTAGTATTCGTGGCAATAATTTTACCTATACTAATACTAATGATAACACTACTGATAATACTGTTAATTGTCATAGCACTACTGATAACAAAAAGAATCGCAATGCTATAAAACAGACAAAAACCAAGCAATGCCCTCAAAGCTGCGTAGGTATGCAGAGTACTAGCCTGCTGGTCTTTCTTGTCCGAAGAGCAAGCACCACCTTTACACACTAAGATGCCAACAATGAACCCTAAAACCACCCAAAATCAGCCCCAAATTAGTTGCGCAATTTCCTGCTTTTTTCGCGCTTGCGAAAATTACGCTAATCCCCTTAGTGGCGCGAGATGTGTGTCATAAAACGCCCAGGCGCCTCAGGGCGCGCTAGCCTAGTAGTAGTAGTAGTAGTAGTAGTAGTAGTAGTAGCAGCAGCAGCAGCAGCAGGAGGTAGTCCTCGTCGTCGTCGTCGTCGTCATTTTCGTGGTGGTGGTGGTGGCGGTGGTGGTGGTGGTGGTGGTGGTGGTGGTGGTGGTGGTGGTAGCGGCAGTGATAGCGGTAGTGGCACGTGCTGTAATGGCAGTGGCAGTGGTAGTGGTAGCGGTAGTGATGCCAGTAGTGGTAGTGGCAGTGGTAGTGGCAGTAGTAATGGTAGTGGTAGTGGTAGTAGCAATGGTCGTGGTGGCAGTAGTAGTCCTGGCAGTAGTCGTTGTTGTGGTGGTAGCGGTGGTGGTGGTGGTTGCGGTGGCGGTGGTGGTGGTGGTGGTGGTCGTGGCGGTGGTGGTGGTGGGGGTGGCGGTGGTGGCGGTGGTGGCGGTGGCGGTGGTGGCTGCCTTTGTAGCCGCTGTTGCTGTTGCCGCTGCAGTCTTTGCTTTGGCTGTTGTCTTTATCGTCGTCGCCGTCGTTGTTGTTACTGCTCCTGTTCCTGTTCCTCTTTATCTTCCTCTTCGTCTTCCCATTCCTGTTACTGTGATTGTTCGTTTCCGGCGTATCATGGATATGTTGTTCGTGATTTGGCATCGCGGATTCAAGCTTTGGACAAGTGGCAGGCCAGAACTGGACGCCACCTTTGTAGTTGCCTGGCACAGCGAGGAGGTTTTGATGCAGTGGCAGTCCCACAAGCACAGCGAAAACCATATCATAGTTCATCGTAGCACACGGGGTACCTGCAGTTGCAGTAGCAGCAGTAGCCGTGGCAGTGAGCAGCAGCAGCAGCAGTAGCAGAAGCGGCTCGTATCACTCAAACAACTACTCCCACTACCCCACATTTCACATGATGCGAGGTGTTGAAAGCCAACCGCTGCCGTCTCGAAAGATGCACTCCGCACTACCTCAAGCAGTTATTCAAGCAATAGGAATACTTTCTTCTGGTCAGTCAGAAGACCTACAGAGCACAGCTTCGCTGAGACTCCAAGCTCCTGGCAGGAGACAACATCCGACAATCGTCACTGTTGACGTGTCCGAGCTGCACGCACAAGGGAATCATACTTAATGGAAGGATTCGATTATCCACAGATCAGCACCACCTATTGTGCTATCCCGGCAACAAGAGTGACAAGAACTCGCACGAGTTGCTTGCATCAAGATCTGTTGCGCTTGAACCCTACTTGTTCGGGAGCGGCCTGCATGGATCTTGTCCAGTCCACAGAGTCGGCCCCTGAAGTTTACCTTGACACTGGCGCGTCTAAAGGGAGGGAGGCTTGTGCTTGAAACGGGGCTTGGCTTGGTCACCTCCATTTCACGTCTCTGGCTGCTTTTAGCAATTTCCTTCTGGATAACTCAAGAACCTCGTACAGTAGGCTCGTCAATCAAACAAGGCATGACACCTCTGTAACGCTCGATGTTTCGTCTATGACTCTATGCCAAGCCTGCACACCCACGATCACATGCAAGAAAGTGTCGGACATGACGCCATAGGCGAACTTTCCACTTGTCAAGAAAGACGACGTCAAGACCTGTGGACCACCAGACGTTGGGAAAGCTGTGCAGCTACGCATCGCACGGTTCACTTTCCATCATGTCCGCAACGCCCTCACACGATCCGAGGCACATCGTTTGTCGACACGAAGCTTTCCGCGGAGCTTTGGCGGCGCTTCTCCTCGCAGTAATTTGTCGTAAACTGTCGTAAACCACGAACCCTAGCCCGATCACTTAGCCCTGCTCTTTAGATTCAACCCGGAGCAGGACAGCTCCCAAATCAAGGCCTGGAGAGCATCCTGACTTAAACAGGTCACCGGCGAAGATCTTTCCATGGCAATGCCTCAATGATTCTCCATGAGTGCACCACCATTGGTTCATTGGAAAGCACTCCTCCTCCACCCAGGCTGTGTCCACCTCCCACGCACTCCAGCGATGCCTGCTTCGGGAACCATCGAAGAATATTGCTTCAAAGGTTCGGATCGGGGCAACACCGGGCCTAGCCTAAAAGCCCAGTTTGCGCCTTAATGCAACTCGTTGCACAAGTCGTCCAAAACCAAGCACGTCATTGTCTCATTGTCTACGAACTTAATGGTTCCGACTGTGCTCGACTTGCCAGGTGCCTCTCTCACGAACAGATTCTTTCAACGAGGTCGCACTGGAGAGCTGCTGGCCAGTGTCGCACTCTGTCTCATAAGAAGGCTGATACTGTACATGCAGAAGCTGAAATTGTAGAAGGGTGCGGTGAAAGGGTCTATCTGGGGGTGTAGGACCTGAAACATGTTCTTATTAGGGTGGGGTGCGCCACTGCTGCGGCTGCTGCTACGATTACGACTACGACTAAGACTACGACGG